TTTAGATATTACAGCATACTTTTGTAAAAAAAATAATTAAATTGAATTGTTTGTTTAGTGTTTCACCGTTTTTTACGTTGCAGCAAACGAAGTCGAAACAGCTTTCCTCGTGCATTAATTTTGAATATGGAAAGTTCAGATATTTGATCATCTACAAATTTTTTTTTTAAAGCTTATAAAAAATAATATTTTGTACTTTACGCTGAAATAACTATTAAGTTTTGTTCAATTAGCGTTAACTATTATATCGCCTGTAAATCAAATGTTCTAATAGCAATATCGTTTAAAAGCTTCCTATTATTCAATTCAACAATTTATTATAATTATCAAGATAGAAAGATATGTATATTTTTTTCAGAATATGTTCACTCTTTTTGTTATTATAAATAAGCATAATAAAGGGGCAACATATTGTATAAATTTAATACTTTATAACACAACAAAACAAGTCACTCTCCTCCTACCTACTTTGAAATTCCTTTTTATAATAATGTACTCTTTAAAAATTGCTTAATTTAGAATTCCTTTTTCAAAAAATTTTTGTAATAAACGTAATTAGCATGTTCGTATATCGGCATAAGTAACCTAATATCCTTAATCAAAAATTTATATTCTGTTATAATTATTATTATTATTCTTTTTATTATGTCTGAATTTGCAAATTCTGATTTTAATCTTCTTTATATATTTATATATGTACATAATACATAAATATAATTATAGTTATTATAATAAAATATTTTAAAAAATATTTAACGAAAAAATTTATACATGTATATTGTGTATACTTATGCATATTAAGAAATTTTATTATAGGTGTGTATACATATATGCCGTCATATGCCAATTTATTAAAGAAAATTCTTTTATAAATTCCGATAATTATTACAATATCCTAGAAATTAACAAAAATTCCTTTCTTTATAATAATATCCTTTGTGAAATTTTCATTAATAATTATTAGAAAAATTTCTTCTATTACACATTTTCCCCTTTCTTAGATATGAAAAAAAAAACAAAATTCTTTAAGAATTAGAAAGCCCACATTCAAGTTTAATAATGCCAATTTTCTAATATTGTACAAATGTGTATGTAAAGAGAGATCTTTATATGGACATGCGGACTTTCTTACAGCTAATTTCATTGAAGCTTTAAATTGTTTACATTTTATTTACATTATTACGTTGTTCTAAATTTAACTTTAAAATATAGGAAAATTGTTTTGAAAAGAAAATTTTCAATATACTATGAATAAAGTTGAGTCGAATTAATGGTTTGTAATTTAGCACTTTTCCCTTCAACAAGTGAAAATAGTCCTTTTTAAAACAATCTATATACACCTACTACACTATTAAAATTACTTTCATTATTAAAAGAAACTATTTCAAGGATGACAAGATACATTCACGATGAGCGACTTATGCTGTTTCTGAAATAAAGCAAAATTTAAAAACCTTTTATTATAATGCTCGATTTTAAGGACTTGTTGCGTGAGGCCTCAATTCCATGCCTCAATTCCATGCTGTTAAAAATAATTGCCTTTTGCCAATTATTTTTAACGGCATGGAATTTGCCGTTAGCTTTATGCATATATAGAAATTTGAAAAAAACTTGCGGTTTCGGAAATACTAGGTACCAAAAATTCATATTTCATAAATTTCTTGAGTCGATAACTTGAGAGGGGGTGAAGGTGGGAAAAAAAATTCTAGGGTGTATAACTTTTTATGGGGGGGGGGGGGGGAGGTGAATATTTTCTTCAACCGAAATAAGGTTCTAGTTAAAATCTCTTAAAATTTCAGGTTTCTATCTTCAAGGGTGTAAAAGTTTTGTAAACCGACACTCGGACGGACAAACAACAGTGAAACTAATAAGCACTTTTTTTCAAAGATTTTTTGTAAAAGTGCAAAAAACAAGACAATAGAGGAACACTATAATGGGAAATATAGAAATCTTGGCAAAAAAAGGGACACCAAAAAGGATCATTATTTTAATTTTAGGTCAAAGTAGAAAATGAAATAAAAAAATAAAAATATTTACATTAAAAAAAAGACCGACAGATATTAAATGGAACTGATTTCGTGTATATTATCATTTTCCGAACAAAAAACTTTTTGTTTTTTCATAGTCTGATCCTAACGTTACTCACGCCGCAATGATAATTACCCTCATAATAAAAGAACCTAATAAATTTTTAATCTCTAACCATTAGGCATTGTTTTTTCTTTAGCAAAAATTTGTTCTAAAAAATATAACATTGTACATACGTTACATATATAAAAAGAGTAACATTAAGCAATTTTATTAAATTCATCAAATTTTAACAAACTACAAAATAAACTTCAATAGGCTTTCACCATAAAAAAAATGAATCATAAAACGTACGAAACAATAAAAATATTAGCCTATACACGCGACACAGTTTTTTATTGCACAACATACCGAGCAGAACTTGAACTGAAAATAACTCGCTTTAATTGTTAAATTAAAACTAAAAGTCTGCATCACTTACTTATTTCAGCAAAAATGTAATTTCCTTATGTAGACTAATTACTTTGTGACAAGTCTTCGAAGATATATATTACACGTATATAACGAATTTGGAGATAATATACACACTAAATTTTTTTCAACTAGATTCAAGTAAAATACAACTAGAGTTGCGCTCCTAGATTTTTCTAGTGAAAAAAAAATCAATAGATTGTCTAGTTTAATATTTAACTGATATTCTAGTAGGTTTAATTAGAATTGCCATTGAAAAAGCTAGAGTTCTAGTTATCTGGACAACTACGTTTAATAAGAATCCGAAAACTATTTCTAGTAGAAAATCTCTTTATTTTCACTAGTATTTCATATAACTTAACTGCATTTTCAATGAAGCACACTAGAATTAACAGTATTTTAAGTAACCAGTTTCTAGTGAAAAAAAACAGTATATTGATAAAAAATGCTGGAAAATCGGTTCAATATTTTTGCGGTATTCTAGATAACTTAATTAGATTCCCTGTGAAAAATTACCAGAATTTCCATTATGAGAGTTACCTGATTTCGAGTGAAAACACACAGAGTTACAGTGATAAAAAAAACTAGAAAGCACATTAATTTTTTCTAGAACCACTTGCTTGTTTTACCTGACTTCCAATGATAAATGCTAGAATTCCCAACAATTTGAGAGACCACCTTCTAGTGAAAATAAGAGGATTACTAGAGAAATTAAGAAAATGCCTAGTGAAATAAGCAAGAAAATCTTTTAGATTTCTTACGGTATTCTTGGCAGTTTAACTAGATTTTCCATGATAAAGACTAGAATTTCCATAACAATAGTAATCACTTTCCAGTAAATGTCAATATATTACTATTGAATAAAACTAGACAACTATTTCATTTTTCATCATAGTTCTAGTTTTTTCAAATAGATTTCCTGAAGAGAAACTTTGGATTTCCAGTTTTTTAAATAACCTGTTTCTAGTAATTAGGAACAGATTTCTAATTAAAAAAGATGGTCAATTTCTATAGGATAATTATAGAAAATCTGTGAAATACATCTATCCTATGGCATTGGATAGATATATTAAGCAGATTTATATCCTACCTAACTACGGTTTGGCTAAACCAAAATTTTCGAAAATTCTAATGTTAAAACTTTTGTAGTTGTAATATTTCTAATTTCATAACAAATTTTTAAAGTTATTTTAGGAAACTCATCACAAAAAATTTCAAGCAATATAAATGACATTTCATAGAAAAATAACAATTTTTGTGTCTTACATAACAAATTATGGTTTTTATTTTTAACTTTTATAGCGTTTGACAAAATGTTTTATGATAATGTTCTTACGTTTTTTCATTTAAATTTAACATAGCAATATATTTTTTTAAATACATTTTTTTATTTTTGAAGTTGTGATATCAGTATTACATGTTGCACACTTAAGTTAATTCAAAAAATTAGAAATCAATGCTACGCATACGTGTATATCCTTTCATAAACAAACTGTTTTATTTAGTAGGGTTATTTATAGAAAAAGAATATGAAACGTGCTACAGCACTTCTAAATTTAACCAATAATAAAAAATATATAATTATTTGGTCATAATACATTTTTAGTATTAGTATTCATATTTATCTACATACATAATCAGGTATAATATTTTTCAAAAAAGAAAAGCAATAATAAATAATTAACATTCCTACTTCTTAAAGATAAAATATGTATATGTATAAAGAGTGGTACATTTCTGTGTATTTGTTATAATATTATTATAAGGTGTATTTAAATGATTTGTCATCTATATCATTTTGCAACATTTACATACATAAAATTATAAAAATTTTATAATATAACCAAACACTAAATAACATTAATTGATAATTTTTTAATATAACACCGAAACAGTACCATTTTACATTTTTCATTTTGTATATATAAACTTCGAAAAAATTTAACAACTTCAAAATTTTTTTATCAAATTTTAAATTACAAGAAAAAGATAATGTTTACTGTAAGAAAATCGTTTGTGCACTCCATAATTTTTCCGTCAATTACTAAATAAATGTTTTCAGTCAGGCGTGAAAATTTTTCAGTACATCTGTAAACGAGATACGGTTGCTTATTCTCGTTATCTAAAACATTTTTTATATTAGCATTAATCTGTAAACAAATATATTACTTAAATTAAAAAAAAAAAATCTAAAAAAAGACAAAGCAGTTCTTATATCTCACATAAATTTCTAAAACGAGGGATATTAAATCTTCCTCTGCAACAAGTTTTTCCCAATCATCTAAATTTATCGCAATCAAAACATTAGTTTTTTTTCAAATTTCTTCTTGGCAGCAAGATTCTTAAAAAATTGAAAAATAATAAGTTAATTGAGTTTTTTAGCTAAATTTATATCGAAACTCACCATATTGGAGAAATTCTGTTTCCTTCCTATAAAATGGTTCTAAGTTAAGGTTTTCCAATACTTGAATGTTAAATCTTTTACCTTTTAAGAGCTCCAATCCATTTTCAATCTAGAAATTAAAAGCAACTTTTAAAAAGCACTCATAAATTAGTTTGCGATTTTTACAACTGTGCCCTTGTAGGAAAGAAATGTTAGGTAAGTATCCAATATGTTTAAATATCCAACTTCAAATCTACGATTTTAAAATGTCTCGTTCATTAAATATTTTATACGATTGAAGTTTTGTTCTGGAGGAATCAATGTTTTCAGTTTTGCAATCTAAATTTAAAATAAAAAAAAAAAAATTACACGCATACATATAAACGTCGATTAGGGCGTACGTAAAATGACGCGGAAAAATTACAGTTAAAATAAAAAAAAGATAAAAAATAATTAATATTTTTTAAAAATAATATTTTGCTTACTTCTCAAAATTTCTGCAACATCCTTATTACTCGTAATACCTTTTTCCACCAAATAGACAAAAGAAGCCCCAACGTCCATATTTTGAGAATTACAAACCTTAAAATTACAAAAAATAAAATATTTATGCTTTATGCGGATAAACAGCATGCATATACTCGTATGTATGTATTTATATATGCTTTGATGTATATACATATGTATGTATATGAACATATGTACCTCTAAAATATGTTTTTTAATTTTTGTAACAATTTTCTTTATTTCTTTTGAAATTGTTTACATTGTTTTATAATTTATTTGCACTTGTTTTAATTTATTTGCACTATTTTTTAATTTTTTTGCGTTATTTTTATTGTTGCTAATTTTTGATTTACATTAACTGCAACTAACTAAACTCACAATTAAAGTTCACTCTTCGAAGTTCCGTTCAATACTGCCACGTTATTCAATATTTTTTAAAAATCTCGCCGATTTTGCTGAAATTTCAACTGAAATCATGTGTATTTTACTATTTCTCATTTAATTATGCTAGAACCTCCTAAAAAATATTAAAATTTGCAAGAAGTCTATTGATATTTACTATTTTTTAGAAAATATTACTAGATTTGTAGTTTAAATATACATGTATGTATATGTTAAGTTTATATTTATGCTAATATTAGTATGCTGTATACGTTTAAATAATATTAAGGCGCAAAAAAAACTTGGTGGTGCAAGGAGTAATGCAACAAATAAAATCCAAAGAATTATTATATACATTATTAAGCAAAATAAATTGAAAATTTCTTTAGATTTAAGAAAATATTAAATAACAAAGGAGTAAAATTGAGAAACCTTTCTGAAAATAAATATTTAAGAAAAATCTTTTGAACATGCTTAATGAAAATACCTGGGATTTAATAAATGGTTAAAAAAAATTTGCAACTCATTTGGCATAAAAATGTTAACAAAAATATGAAGCTTTGTATATTTATAAATTTTAAAAGAGAAAGATTTAAAACAAAATCGAGTGTTCTTCTTTAGACGCTTTATTGCGTTATTCTTTTCACCATCAAACTTTTTTTATTTGGTATACATACATATGTACGTCTGGACTTAAAAAAAAATGAAACGAAAATCAAAAAAATTTTACTTTTCTGTTCATTGTTTTTTTAGCATGTTCTTAAATAACTGTAAAATTTAAACCAAATATTTTAAATACAATATACAGAACTATGTATGTATGTATATGTACAAATTTTATACATTTTGTTGAATTTTGATTTCATGGCTACCTAATTATTGTAATAATGTAGAATTGTATATGTACATTTTATGCGCGTATTGTTTATGTGAAAAATATTTCAACATGCTGTTACATGTTGCGCAAAGTGTGACCATATCACGATAATAGTATATTATTTGTTAATCTATTATTAAAATATTAATAGCATATTTTTTTGCAAATCTAAGTTAATAATTACTGGCCCAACTATTTTATTATATGAATTTATGTTTTTATATCTGGAATATGTACCATAAAACTAAAATAATAAACATATTCTAAGCATTTTTCTTTTTAAAAATTGCCAAAAATATCTTATTTAAATTAGTGGGTAACAAATGTGCTTGTTCACTTGCTAAAAGCTAAATATTGTACATTTTTAAATTTGTACAAATATAAATGCACCGAAGTATGAGGGAATAAATAATAAGTATAAATGCACTGAAGTTGATATTCAATTAATTATTATAATAAGATTTCAAAAAAATTTTTTATTATATTATGTTTAAATTTTTGAATTACTTATATAAAATGTATAAATTTTTATGTATACATGCATAAGTAAAATATACATAAAAATGCATTACATACACATACTATTAACTAAAAGTTTATGTACATAAATCAAATTTGAAAATTTAAATCTTTTGTAATGTGGAAATTTTTAGTTTTCCATGTAAAATTTATAATTTAAAAAATGTACACGTGGTCACACTTTTAAAAAAGCGTAAAGCCATACGTAAACAAATGTAGAAATAGAATAATTAGAATAGTGTGACCACATTTCATTGGTTTTGGAAAGTTAAAATGAAAAGTAGCTGTAATAGTAATGCCAAAAATTTCAAATTTTCATATACATAAGTATATTTTCTTAGTTTTCTTAGTTAGACTTATATAGTTATCATTTATAATATCACAAATATTATGTATTTATATACGTTCATATGTACGTCCATATCGTGCTCAAAATATAACAAGTCCTCAGTCCTTATGAAGCTTCGACTAATAATCCCCCAATCTATTAGCCTGTTTTTGTGATTTAATATTACATTCTTCTCAAAATTTCTTAAAACTATAATCTTCATATTTAAACTTTTTTTGCAATAATGCAATGAAGCAAGAAATAATTTAAATGTAATGTTAAGACTTGTTAAATTTTCAGAAAAGTCATAGATCTTATATTAAATTCTATTTTACTAAATTTTGACGCATTTACTAGTTTGAATCCTTTATTTGACTTTAAAAAACATAGTAAGACAAAAAGGGTTTCGATGTTCATTTTAAGTTACTATTTATAGTAATATGTATTTGAACGAAGAAAGTATTAATTATGAATAAAGTATGAATTATTATGTTCAAGAAATAGTTCTATAGCTATTTCACAATAGTAATAACAGATTTTTTTTACAAATGTCAGTTTTTACGAAACGCAAAATTGAATCATATGTGTAGCAATTTTTGACAAAGTTATCTTTTTTGTACAAAGCCGCGATTTTTAACAAAATATTGAAAACAAAACCAAAAGACGTACAAAAATCAAAAAAGGACAGAGGAAATTGCAATGTAATTTAAAATAATTTTGTAGTTGCATGCATATTTCTAAGTACTATCAAATTTTAATTCTAATTAATGTGTATTATTCTATTTATAATTTTATCAAAACAATTTATTTTACCCAATGAGCTTATAACTTTTGCTAAAAGTTAGCTCATTGGATCAATTACAAGGCAAAGTTTAAAAAACCACGTGTTATTTTTTTCGATGCTGCATGGTTTCTTTGTATGGGTAATATATAGTATATAGTTCGGTTTGTTTTGTTTAGATTCCTTTTAAATTTACTAGATCTCCGGACAACCGCTAAAAAATCGAAAGCACGAAACCGAACTCCGTCTTTTTCTTCCAGATTCGACTAAAATTCTCTAGATGTCAAGCTATCCTGTCCGTGGATGGAGTCTATTATTATTCTGTTTATTCCATTTAATTTTGCTAGACGTCTCACATGCTTTAAGAGCATTAGTGGAATCTATTTATCTTTGTAGTTTTCTAGCAAAAATTACTAGTATGTATATTCTATTCCCCGTTTCTGAAAACATGTCAACTCGAAAGTGTAAATCCAAATTCTGTATTTTTAGCCCAGATTCTCCCTCAAAGCTCCCTAGATTCCTAGTTATTCTGTACGTGAATGGAATCTATTATTTTTCTCTTTATTCTATTTAATTTTGCTAGACATCTCACATGCTTCAAATGCATTAATGGAATTTATTGATTTTCACAGTTTTCCAGTAAAAATTAATTCTATTCTATTTCGCATTTTTGCAAAATTGCAAACTGGAAAGTATAAAATCGGATTCCGTTCTTTTCACCCAGATTCGTTCAAAACTCCCTAGATTTCTAGTTATTCTGTACGTAAATGGAATCTATTATTTTTCTCTTTATTCTGATTAATTTTACTAGCCATCTGACATGCTTCAAATGCATTAATGGAATCTATTGATTTTCATAGTTTTCCAGTAAAAATTGCTTCTATTCTATTTCGCATTTTTGTAAAATTGCAAACTGGAAATTATAAAATCGGATTCCGTTCTTTTCGCCCAGATTCGTCCAAAACTCCCTAGATTTCTAGTTGTTCTGTACGTAAATGGAATCTATTATTTTTCTCTTTATTCTATTTAATTTTTCTAGACGTCTAACATGCTTCAAATGCATTAATGGAATCTATTTATTTATAGAGTTTTCAAGTAAAAATTACTTCTATTCTATTTCCTGTTTTTCTATATTACTAGACAGTAATTGTTGTTTACCAGAATTCTATGGCAAAATAAATTTCCTAGAGCATCTAGTTGTAAAATACTAGATTTCTAATTCAAAAAATTGAAATTGCAAGAAAACTAATTAATTTTCCTTGAATTCACGTGAATTTCGTCACTAGAATTTGTCTAGTTGGAATTCACTCGCTAAAATTTTTAGTGTGTAAAGAGACTATTGTTTAAAAAGCGTTCTATAAATTACAGATTAAAGGTAAATACAAAATATTGACATTCAACAACAAAAAATTAGTGTTTATTATAGATTTTTCCAATTTAAACACTTCATTAGCAATCATTGTGTTATAGTTTTATTACAAGTTAAGAACAATTTACTAGAGTGGTATAAAAATATATAATTTGTAATATTGTTTTTAAGAAGGTGTCGATTTCTGAACACCTTTAACTTGAATACCTTTAAGGTTTTTAAAATTTTCTTAAAAAATTTTTCTTTCAATTGTATTTGCTTTTCAAATTTGTTAAAATATGCCCACAAGTTTTAAAATCAAATTCGAGACATTTTTCGCATAGCATTCACACATGCACAGGTGCAATGGCAGAGGAGTGACAGATTGAGATCAGTCGCTCTAATGGCTTTGAGTATATAAAATATAAATTTTTCAGTCGAAACTCTCACTTAGCACTGGCCCTTAGATAAAATGGTACTCTATGAGTTTTCCGCCTGATATGATAACGAAAGAAATATCTGGGGTGGTTCTAATTTCAGAATTTAAAAGAATCTCGATTTCCTATTACCAAACGCTCTTGTTTTATGTTAACAATTAACTGTTTAGCTCGTTATATTCTTTTGTTAAATACATTTATATTTTCTTTCCTTGCAGAATGAATTATAACTCATGAATTATAATTTTTTTCGTTTTTTCATAATTCTTTTCGTATTGGCGTTTTCAAAATATGAAAAGTACATAAGAGTCCACTAAGAAACTATATAATCCAATTTTAAAATTTATTTTCTCACTTACGGTTCTTTCTCTTAATGACATTCACAATAAAATTTTTCATTAGAATTTTCTCTAAACCTGAATTCTTAGTTAACTTCCAATTCTCAACATTTTATTTATATCATACTATTTAAAGCCGGAAGATTACTTGTAAGCTTATACAAATATAGAGTCATAGTTATTATTAAATATTTTTTTGTAAATTTCCTTTTATTTTAATTTCATTTTTCAATTTTAATCTTTTTATTATCTATTCAATTT